GTGTTCATCCAGCTCTACACCTTGTTATCTCAGCATTCTCTCAGTACTGCATTGGAACATCAACTTAGATTCTGGTGCTCAGATCTTGGGACTTGATGCAAATGGGAACAATGCCAACTAACTCACACGCAGGAGATTATTAAGGCAAGAATGCATTCTTACTTCAACACTCTCTTGCATTCAAAGATCTTTTACCATATCTTTACATATATCAGCATTGGTATTGATCAGATCTCTTTTTCTAACCGGGACCATGCAGGTAATATCATACTCGTCCATTAGGATACATTGAACTCAGAGACACTTTGGAAAGCTTAAGTTTTTAGCGTGAGGAAGTCATCTTTAGCCTATTGCTCTATTGGGAAAAGACAAAGTTTGGTAGAAGTACTGGAATACAAAAAAATTGAGATGTGCAAACCATGGAGAAAGTGAATCATTTCATCTACTTCAGTAGAATACGGTCATCAAATGGGAACAATACATCATCATTTTGAGGAAAGGAGTGTATTCAGCAGTTGCTTTCAAAGAATTGCTGCAGAAAGAGCAGCTCTGCCTCCCTGAAAATGCACCTGTAGGCAAAAAAGGCACAGATGTGTTTTTTCTATTCAATGGGCAGATGAGGTCAGCAAACCCTACCTGAGGAAGTTGTGACTGGAGGTTGCAGATGAAGTTAGCAGTTGTGGTATGGTTAACTGAACATGGTTGCAGAATTGCCAGTGTTTCAGTTACTGACTGTGCAGCAGCTGTAGACTCCAAAACCCATAAAAGCTAGGAGCAGGACTAGGCAATTCAGCCCCTCAAACCTTCTAGATCATTCAATACAACCATGGCTGATCTCATCTCAAACTTAACTCCATTTTCCTGCCCACCATCCATATCCCCTCACCCTATTATGAATTAAAAATCTGTGGTTTCGGAACATACTTACTAAACCTCATAGGCAGTGGTATCTATGGCGCATCTGTGACAAATGCATAATTGGCAGAAGAAATTAGTGGAAAGGGCTGATCCCCAACATCCCTCTTCTCTACTATGGGACAAGTAGCAGATGTAGACAGAACAAGGGCAGAATAATCATTTGAGACCTCAGAGGGTGAGCAACCAAATGAAGAGGCAGCATCACGTCATTTCAGTTTACCCTCTGTCAAAGCAGATATTTACACTTGTCTGGCATTAGCTCGTGTTTACAAAGCATGGGACCAGCTGCTAAGCATGACACAGTTCTGTGCAAGCAACTAATGGAGGCACTGACAACTGTAATCACTCCCCATTGGAAGACTGAAGAAGGCCCAGTGATTTTCAGTTTCAAGCAGATGCTAAATGTCAGATTCATACCAAAGACACACATGCTGGGACAGTCTATTATCCACCCAGAGATTTTTGGTCAGCCAGAAAAGCTAAGGCATCTGGACTGTCTTATGCTCTCAGAGTTGTGATGGTTTCCCAGGAACCTTGCACAAACCAAGAAGATCCAAATGCAAAAATTGCACACTAGTTGTGTGTACAGCCAATGGAATCCGGCTGTTGTGTTCTCATTCACCTCCTCACTGGAGGACTTAATAGTTGAGTGCTTGAGATCACTTTTAATTAATGCCAAGATCTGAAAGCCTCTTAATCTCCTAACTCTGCAGACATGAATGGCACATCAAAGACATCGTTCCCATAATCTGTCTTTAATAAATACACCCACTCAATGGTGTCTTGAGTATCTTCCTCCCATGATTTAATGTTTTTTTAACCTTCCTATTTTGAAATGCCCAGAGGCATTGTATCTTATTACCAGCGTGTACCTGCGGTGAATGTTACAGATCCATTTAAAAGAAAACTAATAAGTGTATGAAGGAGAACGAAATTGAAGGTTATGATGGTTGAGTTAAATGAGAAGTAATGGGAGGAAACTCTAACAGAATATAAAGGCTAGCCACAGCATTTCTATGTAAGTATTAAACAGCACAAATGAGTACTCTCACACTGCCCATCTTTAAAACAAAGTACTTGTAAATGGTCTTTGAAGATTTGAATTGAAATTAGGAAGGGATATTAGATGCTCCCAATGGATGCAACATTGAGATCCTCCTTAGCTAATTTGGTTATGTCAAGTTAATAACAATCTACTCAAATTCTCCAAAATAAAACTAAGAACTGCAGATGCTGGAAATCTGAAACAAAAACAGAAATTGCTGGAAAATCTTAGCAAGTCTGCCAGCATCTATGGAGAGAAGGTAAAGTCATCATTTTGGGTCCTGTGATCCTTCATCAGAACTAATAGTAGCTAGGATAAGGTGGTATGTATGTTGAAGACGGGGGGTGCAGGAGGTGTGGGTAAGGGAGAGTACAGGTGGAGGCAGAGCCCGCAGAGAGAGAAAGACAGTTGGGCAGACAAAGGGATGTAAACTAGGGAAGGAGAAAAGCTGATAATGGAGACCGTTAGCAGGTGAAAATGGGTTGGCTGTACCGAAAGCAGCCCAAGTGATGACAAAGCCTGGGTGAGGGATGGGTAAAGGACATGGAAGAAGGTGTTCAGGCCTAAAAATTATTGAACTTGATGTTGAGTCCTGAAAGCTGCAGGGTACCCAGGCAGAAATACCTTCTTCCATGTCCTTTATCCAGCCACAAACCCCAAGTCTTCACACCACATGGGCTATTTTCAGCATAGCCAACCCATTTTCATCCCTTTGTTTGCCTAACTGTCTTTGTCTCCCTCTGGGTTTCATTTCCATCTATCCTCCCACTCTTTTACTCCTCCCCCCAACCTAGTCTTCAGCATTCATACCATCTTTTCCTAGCTACAAGTTCTGATTAAGCGTCACTAGACCCAAAGCATCGACTCTACTTTCTCTCCACAGCTGCTGCGAGACTTGCTGAGTTTCTCCAACAGTTTCTATTTTTGTATTGGAATTCTCTGATGCTTGAGTGAAGCCAGTTAACATGGTCATAGACTGTTGACATCATAGGATAAATAGTTGGAGACTTATTCAAAGCATGCTGGAGAGGAGGGTAGGCACACACTACTTTTGTTTTGTCAAAGACATCTGAAAAACTGAATTAGCCAATTTGTGATTTAAGCCTATGTGTTGGACACTGAAATTGTACTTCAAGGTGACTGGCATGTTGTCAGCTGCCTCATGTATATTATTTCACGTGTCATTAACAGATGCCTGTTGTACAGCTGAGAAATTTCTGAACCCAAAGATAACAGTTTTTGGATCATTTTTACCTGGACGTGGAGTATGAGAAATTACCCATATCTGCAGCATTTTATATTTGTTATCATTTCCTTGTAGATGCACTCAGGTGCTGTTGAAATTCTGAAGATTTGATTTTCTGATCATTTGAGGGCATGGGATGGATTGAATCGAATTGCTAGAAGGTTGTTGCAATGTATTTTTAACTTAAGGGTATGCTTACTATTCTGCAAACGAGGAACTCCTGATACCAAGTGTTGGATTTTCAGTTGGAAATTGGGATCATATGCTGATCCTGACATCACACCACATTCAACAACTATTTCTGGTGAGCCAGCAAATTAGTGGAGAGAGGGTGCAGTCTCCATACAATTAAGGACAGTAGATGGACTCTTGGGGCTGGCAGCCCCAATCTCCAATGAGGGGGTTGCTCATGCTTGCATAGAGAAAGAGAGAGAAAGAAAGAGAAACCTTACAACAGATATGTTGGCTAAAGATTAATTTTAAAAAGTTGACTTAAAAGCAGCCACAACTGTTAGTCTGTGAACATAGAGGACCAACCCTTTCCCTTGATAGCCAGCAACCACAACAGATGACCAGGGCAGCTGCAAACACGTTCCTAGCAAAATGAAGTGCTGCCCTCAAGTCCACACCTCCTCAATTCCTTGCCTGGAGGTTGCTTCCTCTCATGAACCAGTGAAGGGCCTATCTACTGCAGGCCTTAATAGTCCTTTTAATTACCTCATTTGAATACCTGTCGCTGTTGGGCGGATAGTTGTTCCACCCTAACCCAGACTTCTCAAAAATGGCTTGGGGGCAGGATTGCTCCAGAACTCCAACTGCCAGCTAATGGCATGAAATTCAAATGTGCCCATCCCTTGCTCTGCCCTCATTGCCCTTTGAAAGTGCTACCACAAATATCTGCTGAGATGATGCAAATTCTATTATGACCAACTCCTGACAATCTCCCATTGTAAGGATGAGGTCACGGCTGGACAACAGTGGGTCTGTGCTGATTTAAAGTAGCTGGGTCTTGGCTCTGCGAACCAATAGTTTAAACTCAGGTAACTTAGGTGTCCTTAAGGAGAGAACTGTATCCTCCATATGTAGACAACAGAAACTTAGCTGGTATAGATTTTTCAGAACCTTTTTCAAGAAACTCTTTAATTAGTGATGGGTTTCCAAATATGTCAAAACCCCACTAAATAAAATAAAGAAGCAGTTAGCTGGTGCACAAAATGAAACAATTCCACATTACAGGTGCATTAGATTAATAGATCTTTGCAGTTGTCTTCATTTTATCCTAGTGGAGATCATGAAGTGTCCTTCCTTCCCAACTAAATTTCGCAGTTGCTCAGTTTCAATTTTTGGAAAGCTGTGGAAATTTTTTTTTTCCATTCATTTCCCAATAAATTATTTGTAAGTCGTTCCCTTCCCACCCTGTAAAGAATCCTGTAAAGAAAATCCTATGTACCGATCTTATGAAGCATTTCCACATACTCCCTGAAAGAAAAACTTCCATTTTTATATCATATTTAACCACCAGATGTGTCAAAATGTTTTTACAGCCAATGAAATACGTTTTGTAATTCCATGAAGTAAGGAATATGGCAACCATATTTGTGCTCAGCAAACACCCCAAAACAGCAATGTAGTGATAATTGGATAATTTTTTTTTATGATATTGATTAAGGGATAAATATTGGCCATGATACTAGTGTAACTCCACTACTCAACTTCAATGTAATGCCATGCAATCTTTTACATTCACCCAAGTTGGCAAATATGCCCTCATCCTTAACATCTCATCCAAAATGATAGTACTTCCAACAGTGCAGCACTCCCTCCATCAAGCATCAGACTTGATCAATTTCCTCAAATCATGAAGTGGAATTTGAACCAAAGACCTGTGTGCTACCAATTTAGCCTTGGTTGACAATAATGCCCCAGGTGAAGAATTCAAGATCTTTCTAAGATTAGCAATTCTGAAATTCTGTGCATCCATGTTTCTGGATTCGTGAGCATTTGCAGTACAATTTTTATGCTCAGGTGCATGGAAAGAACCTCTGAGTGCATGTGCAGTTGCAATCAACACTAGATGTCAGTAGACACTGGCTTTTACAACAGTGAATTTCAGAGGATTGAGCAAGTTGAATGATTTAGTTCATATGGCAGAATAGATACCCAAAGCCACAAAGCAGTGGCATGTTTGTATTTAAATTATACTGGCCATTTGACATCTTGTTTAAACATAATATTTTGTTTTAGAGTCGATATAACTCATTATGGTGCTAGCAATCTACCAATTATTTTCATCAATTGATTCATCTCACTCATAAAAGAAGAAAATATGATACTCACACTATCATTGGTTCTAAAATAAATGTTATCTAATCTTATTTTTAAAGCAGTAATCTGAACGATGACACTGAACTTCTATCATCCGAAACTAATGATGTCATGTGAAGACAACAATGTAGTCTTCAATTTGTTGCAACTAGCTTTGCTCTCCTCTTTATAACTCTTTCGTCATGAGTGGCAACAAGCATATGTATTTATCTTTTAGCATGTAGTTTTCACATTTCAATGAAAACATAACTAATTTAATCAAAATGAAGGAGCCAAAGTACAAGGTTTTCTTGAATGCAAGAAAAAGGAATTTTATTACGAACAGTTGTAGTTCCAAGTTCTTAGAGTGCTTGAGTTGTGAGAATGATCTGATATCCGACTGTTTAGCTGTTGCCACATTGCTTCAGCAGTAACAAAGTTTGTAAGATGTCCATGAGTTTTTGGTGATGTTTTTCAAATTACATTTTCATTGGGCATTAACTTTGAGGCTGTAAAAGATTGTCTTCCATATATTGCTTACAATTCCACCTTTCTTTGCTCTCCTCTATGCTTAATTTCAGCTGTTATAATATTGTTCAGTGCATATTCTAGATTCTAGTTTCAATGTCTTTTTTCAAGCTGGATGATCTGCACCTCAAAATGTAAATTCCAGAAAGGTATGAATCAACTGGAAATATAGAAACAAAAACAGAAATTGCTGGAAAAGCTCAGCAGGTCTGGCAGCATCTGTGAAGAGAAATCAGAGTTAACGTTTCAGGTCAAGTGACCCTTCCTCAGAACTTTACAGCATCTGCAGTCTTTTGTTCAGTTTTTATTGGGATATATAGATCTGAGTTCAACTCCTTTTATAACTACGTTAATTTTGTCTGAAACTGATTTTTGTTTATTGATGATTTCATGAGCTTGGCTCAACTTTGTCAGGTGATCACAGCAGCCATTTTAGGTCAGCATTTATCATTTCTAAAACAAATTTTAGCCCTTGAAAGCTTTCAGGTATGACAATCAGATGATGGAAGTTGAATATTGATAGTTTTTTTTGTATGGTTGTAACAGTATTGAAATAAAAAGATTAATGACCCACTTATACAGCCCAACAGATATAAAGTCTTATTGAGTTTTGGCATAAACCTTACCCTGTTTCACATTTTGCATACAGTGTATATAGTGCTCAGTTATCAATAGAAGCCTTGCATGTCTATTCTTTCAGTTTAAGCATCCAAATGTACAAGAGTTCCGATTCTGTATAGAGCCTGAATCTACCGCAGATAAATGTATGACAATGCAAAACCAGAATGTTTCTCCAAGCAAGTTAAATGATAAATTACCATCATTGTATGGCGCCCATGAGAAGGTAAGGCAATGTGCTATAGAAGTAGATGCACCATTTGTAACGCTAAGGTCAACCTACATGAGGGTTCTTTATTCTGGAATGAATTTTATACAGAGATGGTAGACTTCCTAAATTCAGGAGCAAGCAGCTTTCTTCTGTGTGACGGGTAAGTCTGAGCCAATTTCATGGCTGTCAGGCTACAAGTGGTACAGGGTGTGACTTGTACCCTTTTTTTGGGGAGGAAGTTCTGAGTCCAATAGCAGTGAGTGAATTAAATGTCTAGTGTGACACCAGGAAAGGAGGCCACTGCTGGGACTTTGCTAGTTCCAAACTCTGAGATGCCAGTGAAAAAGTATGTTGGAATTTCACCAGACCTAGACAGGAAGGCCTCCATGAAATGAGGGAATGAGAGTTTGTGTTTAGGAGTGAAGGGTGCTGGAACAGTCAGGCCGGGGCAGTGGGGAATCCTTGGCAGTTGCTCGCCTGGGCACAAACAGGAGGCACACAATCCCACCTTCAACAAGGTTGCAAGTAGAATAAACATGATAGTGGGAGGATGTCCTTAAGTAGCTGTTAATTGGCAAATTAAGGACCTCAGTTGGCCTGCATGCAGGCAAGCTATCTTGAAGCATCCCTGTCAGTGTTAAAATACCAGTAGTAAAGTGCAGGTGATGGGCTTGGTGGTGTTTTCTCGTATCTAATTTTTTTGTTGTCAGACCATTCCAGGGGAAGGATATAGAATTCCACCTGATGTTGCTATTATATGTTATGCCAGCATGTTTGCAATTACTTTAGTGTTAACTGTCAAAGGATTGATTTGAGAAGACGTTTACCCTATTGCAGATTTTTGCTTTACATGTTTGTATCAGATAGACTGGGTAAGGGTAATTTAAAAATTAGACTTGGCCATCAGTGTTGCTGGCAGGGCTCTTTCATTCCGTGAGAAGGCCAACAAACACACTTAACTCACCACACAGTCAGCTTCTGGCAAGAAAGACATTAGCCCTGAATGAACCCTCTCTTCCCAGAATTATTTAATACAAAAGTTATTTGATGGCTAGGATATTGAATTTTCTCAAATAAATTACACTCTGTGCTCGCTCATCTCACTGCTTTCTCCAAATAATGTTTAACGAGGAGGAATACTGCTTTATTATCTGAAAGAGGACGGTGGGTGCTAATCAGTGGAAAATTTCTTTGCTCGTGTTGACCTGAAACCATGAAACCACAAAACCCCATGGCATCCAGAGTCAATATTGAGATCTTCCAGAGCTACTTCTGCTTGATTGTTTTTCGATGTGCCTCCGTCTCTTGTCTTGTTGGTGGAACAATATGTATTTAAGATGTTAAATCATTGCACATTTTCATTCTACCTTTAAACTTGGTATTGATTGAATATAGCAACAAGGAGCCCCAGTAAACCTGAATGCAGTAGGAATAGGGAAAGAAACTCTTTATTAGTTGGAGTCATCAAATGGGAAGCTAAGTGTGATACTTGAAGAGTTCTCATTGTCACAGTCCAGCCATCTTCATTTGCTTCCTCAATGATCTTCCTTTCAACCTAATGTCAAAAGTGGTAATGTTTGCTGATGAAGGCATCGCATATATTTCCGTTTGCTGATGATGGCACCACATATATTTCCATTCACAATTCTTCAGGTAAGGAAGCAGCGTATACTGGAGTGCTGTATTCAGACTTGAGTTGAGAACTAGATATAACAACTGAACAACACAAAATGAGAGACTTTCATTTTGCCTTATTAAAATGCACTTGATGGTGCCACATCCAGAAATATTCACTCTCTCCATCACCTGTTCTCAGTAGCAGAAATGTGTACTATCTACAAGATGCACTGTAGAAATTCACAAAAGCTCCTTACACAGCACGATCCACTCCAAGCATTCACCGCCTAAATTTGCAAATATATTGCTTCCTTCAGTGTTGCTGGATCAAAATCTTGGAATTGTGTGCGTATATGCATGAAATGGACTCTCGTGGTTCAAAAAGGCAGCTCACCACCACCTTCTCAAGGGCATTTAGGGATGGGAAATAAATGCTGGCCCACCTAGAAACACCTACATCACATGATTGAATAAAAACAATCTCAAGGTTTCTCACTCACTCTCTTAGTGCTTACTTACTTTGTGACAACATTGATGCTCACAGCATCTCTGCCTTGTCTTGCCTTGCCTTGCCTTGCTTTTTGGAGCTTTTCCACCTAAGCCAGAGCTTGAAGGCTCATTGTACTTCTGTATTGCTTTGCTTTTTCGCACAGATGCAAAATCAGGCAATTGGCATGGTTGTCAGCAGTGATCAGTGTCAATCACACACCTGTACCAGGAGCCAGCAGTGTGCATAGCAAATTCATTTCCTGTACATCAACCAAATGGTCATGTCTCAAAGTCTAAGGGAAACAGTCCTCAGTGAAGGGGACTGCTGTCAGTCAGGCATCCCTGTATAGTAAGTCAAAGGCACTGTCTGCCCTCGGTCCTAGACATGGTCAATCGGCTGCTTCGAGTAGTCAGGATCAGGGAATAAATGTCAGTACAGTCCATGAGTGGGCCACTGTCAGTCTTAGGATTCAGCTGAATGTAAATCAAGGGAAGTTATCAGGGAATTCTGCTCTGTTGTGAAGTTGAGGAACTCATTTCTAGGGATTAGAGGCAGCAACCTGGAATGCAGAGGGGAGAGGAATTGTAGAAGACGATAGTGCACAGGAGGACATTGGATGCTTTAGGAGGGCCTCTTATCAGTGGTCACCACCAACGTGACCTCGCTGGGATGCTGTGCAGAATGATGATTAAACTGTTGGCTGGGCTCAGGGAATGATGACGAGAGCTGCAGATGGTTGCTTAACCATTATGTGCAGAGTGAAGGAGTACTCCAGACTGTAAATGCTTGATGGAGTGCATGGTTGACTTCAAAGATTGGGCCAATGCCAGGGATTCTGGGATATCCTAGCAGTGGTGACAACCTCCACTTATGTTAAGTGGGAGAATAAGACAAACAACGTGCAGGCTGACCAATTTGTTCAGTAAGTTTCCCACCTATTGACAGATATTGGACGTCCCCCTTTCTGTTCCCAATGAATCTGCAAAGTGAAAATGACTTGACTTAGCAGTATTTAAAGGCTACAGGGCATCAAACTATTTTGTCCTTAGTAATCAGTGATCAATTTCTGGCAATGGTTTCCTTTAAAAAAAGCATGGAAACTATCTAGAATTGATTGTTATGATCCTGAATCTAGATGCCACAAAGGGCCATGAATATCACAAGAAAGAAAAGATACTCTGATTTATAAATTCCTTATGGTCTAATGACATCATAAATTGTTCACAACTAACAAGCTATGTTTGAATTGTTGAATCACAGTCGTTTGTGGGCAAATACCGAAATCAATTTCTCTGCAGTGAGGCCCCATGGATATTGATTCTGATCAGTGCTTCTGCTTTGCAGTATTGTTAGGTGAGTAATGTCAGTTAGGATATTTGAAAACCTTCTGCACTGTGAGTAAAGTCATGGGATCTGTAGCAGTCCTCCTTAACATGTAGATAGGGTTTACAATGCATTCAGAAGAATAACATAGAATCACATAAATGTTGCACTGAAGTTTAGGAATATGACTTGAACTCAGCCTTCTCATTTGGAAAACCTTGTGAATAGATCTGTATCATTCTCATAATTGTTAATTAATATAAGTTGTTACAGATTTCTGAAATATTTTCTCCTTTGTCATAATCTATCACAGGGGAGATTTCCACGGACAACATACAGTTTGAATCATACACTTAAACCTCTTCCCTTTGTAAGTATTTTAATTTATTGATACTATTGAAGTCATTCAATTTCAGAAACCCTGTCAAACATCAAATGTAATATCATTGACAATATTTGTGCTTCAATATAGTGGCATTCAAGTCGTACAAAATAAATGCTAACTTGAACCTCAATGTCATTCCAAACTTGTGAAGTTTTTTCTAACTACTAATCATATCATGGTCCATTCAATGTACTATATTGTACAACATTTTTTCTCTCTGAACTAACACAGGGCTATGATCACCATTGTAATTTTGTGCAAGTGCCCATAAATGTTACGTTTTGCAGCAATCAGGTTGTTGTGTTTTTCTCTATGAGCTGTGTATGGTAATAAGCCAACATCAAGATGACATCACATGACCAGCAGCCATTAGGAATGCAAGAAGCAGCAGGATCGACTAAGAATGTGAAAGGGTATTTTGTTCTCATCTGCAAGTTAGTAGTTTATATGTTAAATAAACCTGTTCGAGATTTTCAAGTAACTTGAACCCATGCTACTTAACAAGTTAATATGAAAGTGGTAATTCTGTGTTAAGGAACACAACACACAATACAACACCCTTAGCAATGGAGGTTGGAGCTTCACATTGATTCCACCGAAGCTGAAATCATTAATGCAAATTTTCATTTGTTGGTAACAAACTGGCTAGGGTGAATTAAGTCTTATTTGTAGCATATTAAACTCCAGTGCTATTGACTTTTGTTAATATCTACCTAAATCAGCATGGTAGCCTCATTATCCCGTCTCCTGGCTTCACAAGCCACCCGAAGACTCTTCTCCTCGGCATTCTCTTTTCTTTTTCTCGTGGGATTCTTGGCTGTAGTAACTGTGTTATCCCTGAAGGTGGCCAAACTTGCCTGCAAGGAATCAAAACCTGGCAATAAACTTCTTTCATTTTGATACCCAGTGTATCCCAAGCAACAATGTAGGCAGTTGTAAAGCTTGCCATGCAAAATACTTGTTGGATACTTGAAGAGCCCTGTTGAACTAGTTGAGGTACATGAGTGTGCTCAAAATGTTCTTCATGGTGCCAAGTGGCTTTCACATCCAGAATATGTTTAAGCATCATTCAAACCATACACCTTGCTGTCTTCAGGATGTTACAAACTTTTATCAGAATCTTCTTCTAATATCCTTCTTTGGAAGATAGTATTGTGCAAACTCCTCCAGTTATAAATCAGGTAGGGATTCTGTTGTGATATAACATGGTAACCCAAAGATTACAAGGAAGAACATATCTGACTAAAGTCACCACTGCTTGGTCAATGCATTCTTTTAAAAGCAACTCACATACTGGTTTATAAATTACTTATTGTACAAATCTATTTTGGTGGACACTGCAGTTTTTATGATTATGATGTGAGCTGTCAAGGCACTCAATGGATCCCAAATAGCAATAACTGGTTACTTTATTGTGTCTAATATTAGTAATAGAGGAACAAAATTAGCTGCTGTCAAAGGAGATGATCAGCACCTGCTGATTTCTTTCATTTCTTGTAGCCTGACCATGCACTACACAAAACTGTCATGTCGCAGAATAAACAGCTCAGTTGATAGCAGCTACTTCAGACAGATACTGAATTTTACAAGTCCAGGTGTACAATTACATTTTATTTCAAATGATTGTTTTTGGAATATGTAACCATAATTGCTGAGATAACAAGGTGTAGAGCTGGATGAGCATAGCAGGCCAAGCAGCATCAGAGGAGCAGGAAGGCTGACGTTTCGGGCTAGGCCTCCCGAAGACTCTTCTCCTCGG